GCTCACTCATTACGACTTTAACATTGTTTCTTTTTTAGTTTTGATCCCGCTGGGATTTCTCTGGTGGGGTAAACAGGGCAGCGGGGTAATGTACGCGGAGGCAGCCCCGCTGCGGTCACACGGGGGCGCTGCTTTCAGAAATGTGGACACCTGGGCTCCGCCACCACCTGGCGGGATGCAGAGAACCGCACCGACACCCCAGTGTGGGCAGCTTCTAAAGATCCTGTAACGTGCCGAGGGGCACTGTGCTCTTTCAGGGACTGGGCTCTTATATATCTATTGATTTTATACTTAATACTTTTTAAGCGGAGGAGGTGGGGGACTCCCGATTACATAAGCTTCATACCCTCACTAAACCCGGAGGGGCTGGGAATTTCACAAACTTAATTACAAAGCTGCTGTTTTTAAAGAGCTGCCCGGATGTCCCCGGTTTCGAACAAAGGCCGTAACACGGAAACGAGAATTACGTGAACAGATCTTCGGAGGTGATTCTCAGCAGGTCAAAGGCACACACCCATGGCCACACACTCCTGTGGCTGTTCCACGTGGACACGCCCACGTGGACGTACAGCAGGAGTCAGAGTCCTCCAGTGCAACACTTCAAACGGGACGGACGCCGTGCACCCAGACGGCTCCCGAGGTCAGCACGGACTCACCGCTCTCGGGAAAGGCCGCCCTCCACCTGGGCGCCCTGCTCCTGGCTTCTCTGCCGGACGCGGACCCTGAGGGAGGTCAGCAGGGTGGAGGCTGTGGGGCTCCCTCCTCTTACCCACGCAGAGCCTCATCTGAGGGAGAGGCCTGCTCTCTCGCCCACGTGGGGAGTCCACCTGGTTGAGCGTCAATTCTCTGAACAGAGGACGCACCGTCGTGGCCGCCTCCCCTGGCCCGTGAGCCCCCCTGCGGAGGAGGCTGCCTGCGCCTGTCACCCCTCTCGCGGAAGAGCCCCCCCACAGATGGAACGCCCGTCACTCAGAGCCACGGCTGGGCATCGCCCCTCGCTGAACCTGGGCAGACTACGGGTCCTTCCCCAGCCAGCTGCCGCTCTGGGCCTCACAGGGCAGGTCCTGGCATGTGGGGGGACAAGAAAGGAGTCGGACTGGCCAGGCCCGTGCTGGCCAGGTCCCTGTCACCACAAAAAAAATGCAAACCTTCCCTTGGGGACAGTGCCCAAACCCCAAGACACACCCTAGAGGGGTAGGAAGAGAAAGAAAGTGGCATGAGATGGACAGTGAACAAACCCGCCCTCTACACGATGTTTAACTATACCTTTCCCTGACTAAAAAGTGAACGAATTCTTTACAATTCCCAAACGTAGCTGTTAACAGTATTATTCCAGGTCATCTCGGGGTTTAGCGCAGTTCCGTGGGGGACATGGGGACTGTCCGCATTCACACGGAGGGAAACTGAGGCGGGGGGAGGTCAAGTCACTGACCCGACGCAGAGGAGGTCACGAAGCGTAACTGTCATCAGATGTTTCTGACCCCGAGTACAGGGACACACAGACACACATGGCTGCTGCGAGCTCCCTCTCTTTGCAGAGAGCAGCTGCTTCCCCACCCCTGACCCCCGCCCAGCACCCACCCCACGGGTGAGAACACTGCTCCAGCCCCTTTATCTGCCAGCGCGCCCCAGCGATAACAGGCCAGGCCGCCCTGGCTGGAGGTCCGTGCACATTCATGGAATATCTTTCAACATAAAATATGAGAGAAGAATGCAAGCCATGTGCAGCCGCGGGAGTGAGGGGTGCGCACAGCGAAGCGCCACAAGGCTGGTTGTCTAAATATTTCCCAAGAACTGACCGGGCGCCAAAGAAACATCTGGAATAACAGGGCTGCGGAGGCTGCGGTTTCCAGCGGGAAAGTCACGGCGAAGATACGGAAAACAGCCGGCCCCCGGCTGTGCGGTTGCACCGTCACGCACGCCGACCACCACCAACAGCTCGCCCGACGCCGAACACTTCCCCCGGGTGTTCGCTCCACGGCCCCGCCACTGGGGGCCTAAATCACATAAACATGCTTTTCTGGCCACTAAACACTTTATTTATATTTCCAATAACAGTGTTATAATAGTTGACTCAGATAAACTCATATTTCTTTTTCTTTTTTTTTTTTTTTTGCCACGTTCGCCTGTTACCTAATATGGCGAGAAGTGGACCTCCAGGCGCGCTCAGAATTCCAGCCCCTGGCGTCGGCCCAAGGACGGAGCGCGGGCGTCCGAGGAAAACACGCTCTGGGTGGGCCAGGGTGGCTTTCGTGAAGTCACCTTCATGCCTGACAGGTGGAAGCAGACCCTCTCTTCCCAGCGCTGATGCCACAGGGGGCTGCACACTTCAGAGGACCCTGCAGGACCGGTCCTCTGCCTGACGTTCTTCTGCCGGAGGGCTCTCTGCACGGCTGAGCTTGAAATGCCTGTGTCCTTGGACCCTTCTGCAAAGTGTGAGGCAGGAGACCCAGCTGCCTCGGGTGGGCTGCGATGGAACGGTGACCACGGTCAGCTCCCTCCATGACGTCCCCGTGGCATCAGGCACTAGCCTGGGCTTCTGCATTAGCTGGGTCCTCACCGGGTGACAGTGCGGGACGCCCTCCGGTCCTCGCTGTCTTCCTGCTCCGCCGGGGAGGGTGCTGCCTGGTGACCCTGAAAGCCTCCTGCCGAGCCTGGCGCTGCAGAATCTGGGGTGATGCGTGGACTTGTGGAGTGAGGTCCAAGGGCCACCGCCCCTTCCCTGTTGCGGGCAGCCCGTGCCCTGGGCAGCGACCTGCAGACAGTCTCCTCCTCCCGCTCCCCGACCAAGAGATGCAAGCTGGTCGGCAGCATCCTGGGGCCAACGCCAGCAGGTCCCGGCACAGAGGTGCCCCCAGGACAACCTGCTAAATCCTTGCCTTGAGGCCTCTTCACTGACAGGTGCTTGTAAGTCCCCGGCGTCCACGAGACTGTGGACCCTGAGGGAGAGGCCTGGGATGGGGCTTGGGACATGGTGCTTCTCAGACGCTGGCCCGCAGGGCACATTTGCCCAACGTCACCAGGCGCCCCTTCCAAGGACAAACACGTTGGCTTTCAGGCTCATAGTCAATGAGACATCGACTCCTCTTTGTGAGGAGAGGAGTTAAAGTCAGAGATCAAAGGGCCTGGCGCACCCCACGCTGGGGAGGACGCAGTCCAGGTGACTGGCTTCCTGGAACCCCTGGTTCTCAAACTTCAGAATGACCCAGAGGGCAGGTGCAAATGCAGATCCCTGGGCCCTGGGAGCTCTGCGTCGGTGGGTCTGGGGTGCAGCCAGGAGTCTGCCTCTCCAGCAAGCTGACAAGTGACATTCACGCAGCTGGCCCAGGGACCACACTTGGAGAGTCACTGCCTCCCACAGGAGCCTGGAGATTCCTGGGACGTCCGGCTGCAGTCTTGGAGCTTTGTATCGAGAGGGAGGTGACCTCTGTGCTGGTACCTGACTGTGGTGAGTCACGCCACCTCTTTCTGGGCTGAAAGACCACGTGCCCAGAGACAAGAGGGCTTGAGAGAGAAAGAGACCCTTATCCCATAATCGAAGGCTTCGGGTCATCCCTGGGGTTTTTCAGTGCAAGTTTTTATCACACCTTTTTACTCTACAAGCTTTTACCGCGTGTTTTTCTGCACTTGGGTTGGTTATGAAGCCTTGTTGTCAGCACCAGCAAAGCCTGAGGCCCGTCCGAGAGTGAGGCGCGCTGCTGTGACCTGCTGTACGTCCTCGAGGGGTCCCGTCCCCATGCCAGCGGCTCCCAGGGGCCTCTCTACCGCCCCGGTGGGCCCACCGGCCTGGTCCACCGGGCCCGGAAGGGGAGCTCGGAGGCCCGGCCGCTCCCTGCTCCCAGGTCTCCACCCCCTGCACTAGCTCTGCTGCCACGGCCACCACCCAGGGCCCACGCCAACGACAACACCTCTCCCCAAACGTGGGCCGCACTGTCTTTTGAATCCGTGCCAGACGCATGAAGGCTTCCCACGGACGGAAGTGTCCACCCGGCCCTGGGGAGCCAGCCGCTGAGCTAAGCCCTTGGCCAGAGCCCGGCCGGCCCCTGACCATCCCGTCCCGGCCATCTGCCCCAGCTGGGCCCGCTGACTGAGTCCGGAAAGCCACATCCTGTGGGCAAACACAGAACGCGGGGCCCAGCTGCCAGTGCCGTGGTGACCTAACCTCCCTGCAGATGCTGAGCTCCGGCAGGCGGGGCCCGCGGGGCTTCTGCCTGGGCTTTTTGACGCGGCCGCGGGCTCGTCTCCTGGAGTCATGTCAGCCTCGTCTTTGACGCCCACGTGGCGCTCGGGGCCAGGCCACATCCCCGCCTCCGGAGACACACGGGCGAGACACCCATACCCCGTCCCCACACCTTCACCGTCTCCCCTCCACCCCCCTCTCGTGCCAACACCGAGAAAACCGCTGCTCCTTGGCCGTGCGGGACCACAGCCGACTCGGTCTCACTGTAAGGGTTCAGGGCAGGGCGTGCCCCCGCCACTGTCGGGACCTGGAAGCCCTGGTGCCCGGGACCCCAGGACAGGCCTGTTCGTGGGCCTGGGGCCTTTCTCCACGGAGGCGGCAAAGGCTAATGAACGCTGAGCTCCCATCTTTATTAGACTCCCATGTTTGTTTCCCCCCGTCCCTCCCAGACATGTGAGTGCTGTGTTCCTGACCCACTTTTCCCTGTGGGCCCTGTGGTTTCTACCGCACAATTCTGTACACTGCAGATTTTTTTCATATAACATGAGGCACAAACCTCACTGGTTACAGAGCATGTGGTTCCGGCTACTACATCAACAGCGCCTCCTTGTGGCAGTATCTCTAATTGCAGGTAAAATATAGAGCAAGGAAAGCGTCGCATTGAAAATGAATTTTTATGGGATAGGATCCCCGAAGCCAAGTCCAATACACCCCCTCCCCTGGAGGCAGCTCCCTCTGACCTGCAGCTTCCTGACCTGTGTGCTGAAAGAAATGTGTCTCGAGGGTCCCACGGCGCCCCCCCGGAGGGAGCCACACTGACCTGTCATGGAGTTTTCCGAGGTGCACAGCTGCTCTCTCAGCTTCTCCACGTCGTCGGGGTGCACCTGCTCGTAGAGGGTGCTCCCGAACCACTCCGACTGCGGCTGGTTCAGCACGGGGGTGACGGAATCAGACACGTAGATCACCCGCCCCGTCTCGGCCGCCACGACAAACAGAAACCCATCGGCTGCTTCCAGGATGAGATGCTTCAGTTCCTGCAGAGAAAAGGGCGTGGCTAGGAAAAAGCGCCGGCAAACTGCGGCCAGTTCAGTTTCCTTATTGGCGACCTTCGCCTTTCATGTCGGCATTTGTGGTGATACAGACATATTTTGGAGAGTTTGATTATTTTCCTTTTTATTGCAAAATGAATTGTTTAAAAAGCACAGAGCTTTTACCAGCCCTAAGATGCAGCCATTGTAAACGCCGCCAGCCCCACCCCCTGTGGGGAGAGAGGACAGGCCGGCTCAGGGGGGTGAGAAAACCAGGAGTGGTCGCTGGAGGTGCTGGGTTGCCCCTGGTGTGAATGGCCTCGCCGGCCTATCCCAACGGCAGCCATGTGGTTGGAGCAGAAGCAGGAAGGGAGCGAAAGTGACAGGACAAACGGGGGGGGGCCGCAGGGCCCCCTGCCCCCTCGCTTCCCGGGCTTTCCGAGCCGAGTGCTGACACTGGGCATAAGAGCATCACCTTTCGTCTACCTGTCTGTCAAACTTCCAGAACAATTTGAGAGCCGACACAACAGAGTCTCAGCGTAATCCCAGGGGGGTGACAAGGCGTGTGGCATCGTCCACGTCACCTCCCAGTGAGGACCAGGGGCTGTGCGCCAGCCCCGGAACCTCACCAACTCCCTGGCAGGGGACGCGGGAAGGAAGCTGCGTGGGGTCAGGGGAGGGGGGGCAGAAAGCCTGCCCATCCACCCGAGAGGGACGTGGGGGGGGCAACATCAGCTTGGTTACCGAGAGGCGTCTTTTCTCTGCGGTGCTGAAGGCGGCCAGGAGCAGCTGCCCCCCGAGTCACCCTCACATCACACCCAGGAGCCCTCTGCTGCCTGTGCCGTGGCCTCTGTGCCCGCCGGAGTCGAGGAACTAACTCTGCCTCAAACACGCGAGCCCCCAGGTGTGCCTCCCACCACCTCGCCCCTGCTCAGGCCCCAGACGACAAAGCCGTCCTTCTGGGCCGGGGGCTGGCAAACGCCCTCGATGGGAATCCTTTGCTCCAGATTAACTGTGTGTGTGTGTGTGTGTGTGTGTGTGTGTGTGTGTGTGTGTGTGTGTGTGTGTGTAAACCTCTGCAACGCAGGGGAAGGGCCCACTGCACGAGGCCAGGCCCCTCCTCCATCCCAACGATTAGAAAACACTGACTGGCTGGTGAGTGGAACCTGGGGGCTTCGTGAGGGGTCACCGAGCCCGAGACTGGGTCAGAATTCTGACATCCTCTGCCTGGGAAACGAGCGTGGAAGTGGGCTTTTAAGGAAGGGTTCGTTTTGCTCATTTCTCTTGCTCTGCATTTCTGCTTCTCTGCGCGTCCGAGACGCTGACTTAATGCCGAGGACCGGGTCAGCGTTTCTATTTTCGGTGCTGGGAAGACCTTCCCGACAGGAAGGGCTGTGGAAATGGCGGAGGCCGTCTGGGAGCCTGCTGCAGAGGCGGCCGCGGGGGCTGGTGACTTCATGTCTTCGGTTTTGCCCAGTTGGCTGGACTGTGGGAACGGCTCAGGGGCCAGAGCCTGGTGCCCGTCGCAGATGGCTCTCCCTGCCCCGCATCCTCCCGGCTTTGCCTTCCGGGGCCACGTCGCCCACCACCGGGGCCCTGTGCCCGGACGTCAGAACCAGTCTCCCCTTGGTTCTCGTTTGAACCGACAGTGAGGCAGACAAGCACGGACTTGGGAGGAACGGACACCCCAGTCTGGGCTCGTCCCCTGTGTCGCTGGGGGGGGCCCTGCCTTCACCTCCTCAGCTTGTTTTCTCACACTTCTTTTTTTCCCCCCAGTGAGAGTTCGTGAGGTTAAGCGAGATCTTGTGTGTGAGGGACACAAAAGGGGCTCACCGATGCGGCCATTATTCGTGAAAAACGCACCAGGCCACTGAGAGAGAAATATGGGGGGAGGGAGCCCACACCACCTGCCCGGCCGCCTTCCCTCTCCACTCCGCCTTCGAAATCCTTGCTCACTCACAGACAAGGGGGAGAATTAATTTCCTAAACGGACCCAGCAGGATTTTTGTAAAAATTAAAGAAACAGAGAGAAAAGGCTTTCTGCCCACCCCCGCAGTGAGCGGACGCCCGCCGCACCTCCGCCTGGCTGCCCACCCGCTCCTGCCCGCTCTCGGCACTCGGAGCCTCCTCCTCCCGCTCCGTCCTCACCGTCACCACAGACGCTCCAGCTCGGAGCCACCTGTGCCCTGAACCACCAGGCTGCCTGTCGTCCCAGCCACGGCCACGCCCCGGCGCCTTCACTGGGACGATGAGGAATGCGAACACCAGCCACATGACAGGCATGGGGGGCCATGTGTCTCCGTGTCCCTTGAGCTCTTTCTGACCCTCACTCCTGGTCCGTGAACAGACTCCGGGCAGCTGCCGAACACGCCTCTCACCTCCACGCGCCCGCCTTTTCCACGACCGCCCTACGCTCCCGGTCACTGTCCTCTTGGAGCCCCACCCCTCGGCCCCCACACACATCCGGGGCTCCTCCCCAGGGGCCCAGGCTGCCTCTCCCCCAGGAAGGGCCCCCGGGGACCACAGGCCACCTCCGCTCTGTCACTTTGGGCACAGCTTGAATGAAACGAGGATGAGGAACAGTGGCTGCTTCCTGGGGCCGGAGTGAGGGGTGAAGGGCCCTGCGCACAGACGGCTCTGACCGACCAGGCCCGGAGGGAGGGCCGAGGGCCCGCTACAGCCACGCTTGCCGCCCCCTGAGCGGCGACGGGGGTGGGCCGTACCTGCTCGGTGAGGAAGGAGGGCTTGTAGGCGCCGTCCGTGGACTTGTTGCCGGTGCCCCGCATGGACTTCATGTGTGACACGGCCATGCGCAGGATGGTCAGCTTGTCCGGCTTGCGGGCCAGCGCGCTGCAGGTGGGCACCATGTCCGACAGCTCCGTGATGTACTGCGTCATCTTGTTCCGCCGGCGACGCTCGATCTCACTGTGGTTCTCTCTTCCCGGGAGCAGGCGGGGAGGGGCCGGGGGAGGGGGGGAGAAAGAGAGGCGTCAGGCAGGGGTTACAGCTCCTGCTCCCGTTGGCCACAGCCAGTGAGTGACCGGGGAGCAGGACCGCCAGTGCCTGACGGCTGGGTGCCCTGGGCACACCCTGGGCGGCCCGTCTCCCCGACACCCGAGTGAGGTGGTGGGGGGCGCGGGCTTCCGCAGGTGCCTCCATCTCATCTCTAAATAAATGTCCTGGAATCGCCCCCCAGGAATCCAGGGCCCTTGTGAAAAGCACCAAGAACTCACAACCCTTCCCTGCACAGCAGCCACAGCCACCGGCAAAGCCCTTGGGTGGGGGGCAGCCTCAGGCACACCCCCAACTTGGAGCAACTCGAAGCAGCTCTGAGCACCCACTGACCTGGGGGCCAACAGCTGCCCTGCGGGATGGAGGCGGGGCCCTGGGTCACAGGGACTCCACAACGGGAAGTCTGTCTGTCTGTCTTATCTCTAACGTGTGGGGGAAAGACAGAGGCCGAGGTCCCATCTCTGACAGAGGGTCCCCAGTCAATCGATGGGCCCTGACTCAAGGGCTCCTCGGTCACCCTGCCGGGTGTTTTCGTCACTGACACGGCCCTTCAACGTCACACAAACTCAGTTCTCACGTCTCTGCCTCTTTCCGAGACCCCAAGAACAACGGCTCCCTGAGTTGCCACAGTGTGGCACGTTATCGAGAGGGGGGTTCTGACCCCGACACAGAAAGGCACTGCTGCCCCACAGACGGGTGGCCATGAGCATCGCGGGCCCTCGGGGACGGGGGCAGGCGCCCTCCTTTCCGAGGTCGCTCCCTTCCGGGAACAAAGCAACACCCCTGCCCAGGAAATGGCTGGGCCTGCCCGCCCAGCCGGGGTCCTGCCGGCACCGAGGGAAAAGCAGGACACACTTCTGTTGTTACATTCATGTCTCGTTTTGATTAGAAGCGCGAGCGTCGTCAGAGGTCAAGTGCAGGCCGTCCCCTGTCCTCCTCCCCAGAGCCGCAGCAGGAGCGGGGAGGGAACGGTCTCTGGGGGCCTGGTGCGTCCAGGGACGGGACGTTCGCTGTGGGTGGGAGGCCCCGGGAAGCAACTGCCGAGGTGCTCGCTCCACCTGGGTTCAGGGAGCGTGAGCTGCACCCACAACCACAGGGGGGAGGGACCGCCACCAGAGATGACCGCCACGGGACAAGCCCGACGGGGAGGTCTGTGGGCCCAGAGCTCCACCCCAGGGTGCTGCCCTTCTAAAAACGTTTAAGAAATAACCGACGCTGTCGACCTGACCCGCAGGAGGGGCGGCCGGAGGAAGGTACCTGCCGGCCAGCTGGGGCAGGTGTCTCAGTTCTCCCACAGCCGAGAGTGAGGAACGTGTGGGTGACGGGTGGGGACGAATGTCCAGGCAGCCCTGCCACAGGGAACGCGAGTCCAGAGGGGCACTTTGCTAAGACCGATGGGGGCGGTCTGCGCCTCTCCCTCGGCCCCGCTAGACTTCCCGCTGGAACTCACAGAACCAGAGACAGTATTTAAAGGAAGAGTGAGCCGCCGTGGGGCCAGGCCACTGTCACCTTCCTGCACATAGCGCACGGGCCACCGCCAGCACCTGCCGGCCAGTCCCCCGTCTGCGGGTGGCCTGCACTTGGGTGGCAGATGCTGTCCTGGGTCCCCAAGTCACACACTTCCTAGGAACCCAGGGTCCAGCTTCATGTTCCACACCCAGAGTGGGGCCACCCAGGTTTCTAACATTTCTCCTTATTTTCTGTGGCAGAAAAAGAGGCCTTATCTCAATGGGTTACCTGAACTTGAACTCTAGGTCTATCTTTTATGACGAAATGCATTAATGTTGGCAGTGACTGTTCTCTAATCAGTGACAATGCGGGCTGGGAAATGGCAGGGCTGCTGCGGGTCCCCCACAACTGGGCCCCGAAGGGGGGCCGGCGTGGGGGTCGAACTCACTGTCGGTGACCAGAGCCACTGAACCCTGAGTGTCTCCCGGTCAGGGGAAGGGTGGCCATGGGCGCCTTTAGGTCTAAGGAACATAAAGCGAACTCACCTGGAGAATTTGCTGGGACCTTCCCCATCTTCGTCATCGAAGTCCATTCTGCAAAGTCAAGGACATGGGTGAGCATCATTCCAGGGAGAAGGTCTCACCGGTCACACGAGCAGTGGACACAGGGAGGGCAGGAAGGGGCTCCACTCGGTCCAACAGCCGTCCGCCCGGCCCAGCCCTTGGCAGAGTGGGAAGCGGTGTCTCCACGGTCATCACACAGGGTCGGGATGGGAAAAGGCCAAGGGACGGGCCTTCCGGTCCCTTGTGTGGGTGTCTGCTGCTGCGGGCCCCTCCTCTCCCCCGTCGTGGGGACACCGCTCCCCCCACACCACTTCCTCTGCCCTGAGCCTTCCTTTTTTATTTCACTTTGCCACATTAACAGAGTAAAAAAGCTCAAGGGGGGTTGAAAGCGGGAAGTTTTGAGGGTGATGAAGGGATTCTGAGTGAGACCCCCCGCTGCTGGTGCTCCCCGGGGACCCGGCCAGTCCTGGGGAGTCCCCCCCAACCCCGCTGGTGGAAAGGACACTCGGGGCCGCCCTGCCGTGAACTCCGGGCCCCCGTGTGCGGATGTGGAGCGAGAGGTGGCCGTGTGGAGCCTGGGCCCCTCGGCACGGCTGCCTGTCATGTTGAAACTTGCTAAATAAACACTCAGGTCCCCACGTTGCTGGGCCTCTCGGTATACACATAAAAAAAAATCTTGATAGATATTTGTTTAAATAACATCCCAAACTCTCCCCAACAATCCACTTGTCTCTGGAACCCGCAGCGTCGCCGCCGAGGAGGTCAGGTGCTTAATTAGCCTGAAGGGCACTCGGGAACGATGGGAGGGCCGGTTCGGACAGCTCGGCTCTCGGGGCCTCTGGGGGTGGGGGTCCGTGGGAAGGAACGTCTCAGGGCTGCCATCCTCCCCGTCCTGCTCTCAGTGGGGCTACGGGAGGCGCTGTTCCCAGGAAGCTCGAGCAGAGGGGCAGCCGGGCAGCCAGGCGGCCAGGACCGGGAAGGTCCCCGTCAACACAGAACGGAGTGGAGTGTGTGAGAGAGGCCACAGCTGCAGACGCCGGAGCGGCTGGCCTCACGGGGACACGGTCCCCACCCCTGGTCCCAAGGGTGGGGCTCCGTGGGTCATGGTGACTTGGGAGAGGCACAGGACACCCAGGCCACCAGGAAATGGCCCAGCTGCCCTGCCCAGGAACAGCCACTCCGTCCAAGCACATCCCTAATGAGATGAGGCGCATTCCCTACGCTTCGGGGTAACTGGGGGACATAGGGACCGGGATTAGACAGGGCAGAGGAACATTTTCTTCTTTAAAACAGTACCATGAGAACCCCAGGCGGGGTAGCTCAGTTGGTTGGAGCACTGTCCCACACAGTAAGAGGTTGCGGGTTCGATCCCCAGTCAGGGCCCACGCCAGGAGGAGGGGGGCAGCCAACAGATGTTTCTTCCTTACGTTGATGCTTCTCTTTCTCTCCCCTTTTCTCTCTCTCTAAAAACCAATGAACGTACCCTCAGGTGAAGATTAAAAAACATTTAAATAAAATGGTATCGCCCTGGCTGGTGTAGCTCAGTGGACTGAGCACCGGCCTATGAAGCAAAGGGTCCCCGGTTCAATTCCCAGTCAGGGCACATGCCTGGGTTGCAGGCCAGGTCCCCAGAAGGGGGCGCACGAGAGGCAACCATACATTGATGTTTCTCTCCTACTCTTTCTCCTTCCCTTCCCTTCCCCTCTCTCTAAAAATAAATAAATAAATATATTTTTTGTATCATGGGTTTGCTTTTGTTTAGTTCGTATGTGGTGTGGCCTAGGTTCTCATCTGGGCCTCAGTCTGGTTGGGGGGACCTGCGGGAGGCCTGACTTCCGGGAACAGAAGAAGAAGGGAGTCAGACGCCCGGGAGAGAGGGCAGTCAGGGCCCCGAAGAAACCGGGACAGAGAGACTCGGACGCAGGAGGAAAGGCAGGCAGAGTTGAAGACCACAGACCAGCCACCGGCAGGGACAGACATGCCCTGACCACGCGGTTGGGGGCATCCTGGTACCAGCAGCTGCAGAGAGTCCCGATTGCTCCGCTTTATAAGTGAAGCAAAGCCACCACTATTCTGCACCGTGACTCAGCCGCCACCTCTTCTTTCCAGACAGTTAACTTCTGGGAGAGGCCGCTGGGTTCTGCACAGACACAGAGCCACAGCGCCCCCTGGTGTTCATCCGGGAAGCAGCAGCCCGGACTGTCAAAACCGTCTCAGATGTGGCCTCTCGAGTCTTCAAAACTCCAGTGGCTCGGGGAGAGCACTGAGCCAAGCCGCAGTGGACACGGGAGGCACACGAGCTTTTCAGGGGCCTTTTCGCTCTGGTTCAGAGGAGCGTGGCTCCCGCGGGTGCGACGAGCCAGCCCTCCCTCCCCGGCCTGGAGCATGGCCTTCTGGGGGATTTTGGGTGCCCAACCACCCTGATGCTCCCGGACGATCCTGGGGTGCAGGATTTCGGTGCTCAAACGGGGAGTCTCAGGCCCACCGGGATGATGGGTCACCCTCGTTTTCATTAGGACAGCTCTGTCCTCTGCCCAGATGGCCACGGAGCAGACAAGCAGGGAAGCGAGAGCCACACTCCACTGGGACACCCATGGGGTCCCAGCGTGGGCCGAGGCCGCGCACTAGAGCACAGGGTGTGAGAAGGAAACAGGGCCTGGGGTTTCTCAAGGCCTCTGGGAATCTCGAGGCCCCCTCGATGCCGGGGCCTGAGCACCGAGCAACCAAGTAAAGCCTCTGCTCACAGAACCACGCCTTTCGTTCCACCCCAGTCCTGCAGCCCTGGGGTGGGACTCGGGTCTAATGGGTTGCAGGCAGTTTAGAAATAGTTTTCCTCAGAAGCCCGGCACTGGACTCCCGGGCAGCGGGAAGGGCCTGGAGCGGCCCCGCCTGCAGCCTCCACCCTCCAAGGCTGGCTCAGGGGGTGGCACCACCATCTAATGCTGCCGCTCCCCGGCGACCTCAGCAGCACCAGGTGTGCCCCTGTGGCTGTGACCACCCTTTGCCACCCCATCGCAGAGACCAGGAAGGTGGGGACCGGGCTGCCGCAGCACCCTGGGAGGGGGCCCTGGCGCAGGGAAGCTGGTGCAGCCCCGGCCCTCCCAGTGACCATCGGGCCCTCCTCCGAGGACCGCACTGGGCCAGCAACACAGTTTTACAGCCCAAAACTGTGATGCCAAACCGGAACGTGCTTTTCCCTCCAAACCCACTCCATTCCCGTCTCCACGCATTGTAGCACCTCCCCCCTGCGCACCCGCCTGGGGGGCCTCGGACCCAACAAGTGTCTTCTGCTGTCACCATTGGGGGGGGGCTGTGCTATCAGAAATTGCATTAATAAGACAAACCGATCCCAGTTCAAGAGAACCATTGTGCATCCAACATTTCATTGAAAATAAAACTGCCTCCAGGAGGGGAAGGGTTGGGCCGTGGACGGAGTCTGCAGACATTGGCTGCGTCCTTCCCGCGGGGCTTTCTGTCCCGACTTTGAGCTCTACGACGGGACCCACTCAGGCAGAGGCACCGTGGGTTCCATTAGCTCAAGAGGGAGGATCTTTCGGGCCCTGCGGGAACCCACTGAGTTGCCTGAATACCTGCAGAGCGCTGCACCCTGCGAGCCGCCCCGTCCCCGCTGCAGGTGCCCATGCACTGAAAGGAACGGTTTCTGCACATGGCACGGCAAAGACCGGCCACCCAAGGACAGGGCGGGGGCTCTTGCAGCTGACTCGGCTGGGGCTCAGGGACTGGATGTGTGTGTGGGGGAGCCCCTCCCTGGGAGAGATGCCCTGAGCAGGGCCCAGGGTCACGGAGCTCATGTTCCCCACGAAGAGAAGCCTGCAGAAGCGCCCGGCAGGGTGCTGGAGCCCAGAACACTTACAGGCCAATCGTGCGCATAGTTGGAGATCTTGCAAAAGCTAAACAGGATGCAAACCGCTGGGCTTTTATTGTCCAGCGCAGGGAGGGGTAGTATTTTCCTAAAAGGTCAAGGGTGTTGCTCATCGCGCATTAAGCCCAGTTCCAGGAAACGTTGAGGCTGCTTACCCGGAACGCCGCTTCCCTCCGCGGGCAGGTATGGCCCCCGCCATCCGCACCTGTCCGGAGGCCGCCATGGGCGCCACGGGCAGCGACACCGAGCCGGGGATGTCCGAGGCCATTTCTGGAAGTCAGCAAAGACAAGAGCTTTTGTCAACCCCAGAAAAACAAGAAAGCAGACTGACCGCACCAAAAGCACCACCCAGAGGAGGAGGAGAGCCCAAGGCCCCGCGGCCTGGGGCGGCCCTGACCGTCGTCACTTAGGTGACTCGGGGGGACCCTTCCCGTCTGGATGAGGGTCTCCCAGGCAGCGCGCCAGACTTAGTTCAGGTGGTTGAAAATCATTAGCAGGGTTGGCAACTTTGGTGACAGACCCATGCCCCGGTCACCTGGGGGCAGGTGAGACGTCCAGGAATCCAGGCACCTCACAGAACCAGCCTGGCAGCAACCCGGTAACCCCGACGGGCAAACCCACCGAGGGTCACGCGTCAGTCCCCGAGGCAGCACCCGTGGGTGCTCTGCCCTCGCCCTGGGTGTGCACCTTCGAGTAGAAAGGCTGCCCCCCACCCTGAATTTGGACTCGGAATTCTGAATACAGAGCCCTATGAACCCTGCGTTCGTGATGAGGACAGTGAGGTCCTCAGTGTGAGGACCTGCAGCGTGAGCCAGGACAACGGCCCTGCAGCCAGGCGCGGTGTCCTAAATTTAAGGAGTAGAACAGTCGGGTGCTGGCTGAAGCACATTCCCCGTGTGCTGCTGTGTCCCCGTTACCTCTGACCAACGGGACACGCGGGGAGGCCCGCGGAGGTGCCATTAACGCAGGCAGCCCGAGTGTCGGCACTCTGGGCCAGGAAAGGACATGACCAGCCCTCGAACCGCCTCTCTGGGTCTGGCCAGCGTCCTTGGGAGTGACTTTCATGGTGCTGGCTTCTCTCACCCGGAGCAGGAGGGAAGGGACGGGCCACAAGGACATCTTGGGAAGAGGCAGCGTGGGGAGCAGGTGCCCAGGGCCCTGGGGTGGGCGCGGTTCTACTCCCTGCCCACACCCCACCCCGGAAACCGGGGTGGGAGGCTCTGACGCCGACCCACGGTTACGCCCAAAGGCGTCATGTCTGATAAACACACCCTGACGTCGTTTTCAACTATCCGCCTCGGAACTTTCTGGAGAATTTTACGATGCTGATAAACAAAATCTTAATTTAGCTACTCCGTGACGTTCCCAAAAATTTGTAAGTGACTACAGTTGGGGTTTTTTTTTTAAACCAACGTAAGCATTTTAAAATATTCAAGGGAAAAAAATGCCTTTCTTAAAGTCACCCTCTGCCCTTTGGACAAGCACTGGGTTGGGCGGCTTGACCTCGCACCCTGGCCACCAGCTTCCTGCAGAGGAGGCGACTGTATTTTCTTCTGAAACGGAGGCTGGAGCGTGGCGGGTTCATTAAGCCCCCGAAAGCCACCACTTCCCCCGCCCCACGGAACACCAGGCCCTCAAGATCCTGCAAGCAGAGGGTGCCGTGGCCACCAAGCCGCCGCCCTTCTCGGAGACGCCAACGTCCATTAAAAACATCCCGAGAGTCCCTTTAACCGTGCCCGTCGTGAAGGCCCCGAGCTCGGGGGCGTGTGGCACTGGCATCTGCAGGGCCCCTGCACTGTGTGACGCGTTCACGCATTTTGAGCCACTGCCTCACGCCTGCCTTGGAGCTGAGGAGGGCTCAACCTGGACGGCACGAGTCCATGAATGCAAACCCACAAAGGCCCACCCCTTCCCTGCCCCAGTTAGGCACCAGCTCAGTCGGCACAGAGGGGCGGGGGGGGGGGCGGGGGGGAGGCTGCGGGCAGCGTGTAGTCAGGACAAAATGATGTTCATCCCATTTTATTCAGGGACAGCTTAGGAGGTGAGTTGTTTTTTCTAAGACGAGCTATAGAAAGTGGAGCTCGGCAGAAACCGTGGCCCTGGGGCAGGGTCGTCGGGCCCTGGAAGCCCCTCAGAGGAGGGGGCAGGAGGGGAGAAAGGGTGGGGGACCCCCTCAGGCAGGCGCCCAGGTGCACCGGGGCCACGCCCAGCCTCGCCGCCGCATGCACACGTAACTCTTCCCCCGGCGCGTGCAAGGCCGAGCTGACCAGAAGGCCCCGGGTCCAAGTCACGTCAGTCCCCCGAACAGGCAGGGAACGTCCGAGGGGAGGAGAACACGCCCACTGTGGGGGCCGGGTCACCTGTGCCCCTCGGCCTCTCACCCCCCTTCTCCCTGCAGCCCTGGCCTCGGACCTGCCCCTGCCTCCCTGCAGCGAGCTGCATGCACACGCGGGCTCACCTCTGGGCAAGGCAACCGTCCGTCCCCCGCCCCCTCCCTCTCCGTGGGTGCGGCCCCCACGGCCCATCTGGAGCATCCTTCCCTGGTTTCCAGGGGCCACCTGCCCCGCCTCCCGCCTGCCTCACAGCCCAACCCCCACTCCCCCCCCAGACCCCCACCCTCCACGGTCCCCTCTGCTCTGTCCAGTCTCAGGCTGGTGACCTCACTCGGGCACCTGGCGCCTGTCCCATCTCCCTGCTGACTCCCAAACACAGGCCCCGCTGTCCCCTCCTGAAGCTCTGCCCCTCCTCGGGTGGCGGCTGCTGGCCATTCTCAGGGCCCCCTCGGTCTCCCCACACCCACTGTCTCCCCCCATTCGCTCCCCATTGGGAAGCCAGGTCTGGCCACTGTTGGCTCTCGGCACAAAGACGGACTCCCTGCCGGGGTCGCCCCCTCTGGTGTGCGGCCAGGGCACTGCCCACCTCCCCAGCTCCGGCCACACGGCCCCTTCCACCCCAGGACCTTTGCACACGCCACGCCCTGTGGCATCAAAGCCCCCTTCCCTCTCTTCACCAGATTTGCTCCCCACAGTCTCAGCTTTGGCTCTAACACCCCCGTCTGGAAGAAGCCGGCCCCGCCACCCCCTTCCCCGCCCGGTGGAGGGCTGGCTGCTCCCCGGTGAGCCTTTCTCATGGTACCTGCTGTGAGTGAAGGAAGGGCACCGCCGTCCAGGTGGGAGAGGACACGGCCCGAGCGGCAGAGCTGAAAAGAGGACGCCCAGGAGGAGGGATGATGATGTCAGAGCCGAAAAGGGAAGATGCTACAGAGTCTGGTCACCTGACCCTCCCACACGGAGCCTGCACGGGCGACCGGGTTCCGGAGGAAGACAGCACGGCTGGGGGGGCTCCCTGCTAGACCCGCCACGCCCTGCGCCTCAGCCCGGGGACACCGCGGAGCAGAGGCGGCAGCATCTCCGTCAGCCTCCCTCCGTTTATTCAGGGGAGGGCGCATGCTCGCAAGGGGCCTGGCGCTAGCTCTGGCTCTGTCACGCTGCCACGCGGGGTCTCCATCTGTGCCCCGGCTAAGCGATGGGGCCACCGGGGACACGCCCTCCGCCCAGAGGTGGCCCTAAGAAAATGCGGACTCAGCCTCCAGCGTCAGGCAAGCACCTCGGCAAAGCTCTCGTCCTAAGTCGGCAGTTGTGCTAGAAGGTGGACAGAGGTGACAGCGCCCCACCCTGCCTCTGACGGGCTCCGTCTCGAGTGTGATGCAGACTCCTGGCTGCACAATTTCACACCGAGAGCCGCGTGTTGGGTGAGAGTGGGGACCACTGGGAGCGTCCAGGAAGGCTTCCTGGAGGAGGCCCCCCCCCCCAGTGCTATCCAGGCAGGGCAGTGCAGACAAGCAGCAGGAGCAACCAAGCAAGACAGGCAAGGTGCCCTTTTCCTAAATGTACTCTGCACGGCTCCAGAATTTCTGAGCAGACCCCTTCGTGCTCACTTGCTCAGGCCCTTTTAACCCACGACTGCAGCTCTGCAAGATCTAGAACCATCCCCCTCCTCACATGCCGCCCTCCGCCCTCTTGTATCTATCTCTGCTCAGGGCCCAGATCACAGCCAACCACAAATGCACAGACCAGCAGAAATCGCTCCGTATGCGCAGCAGCCAGACACCAGGGCACATAAATACCAAGCAGCCCCAGCAAACACTGTTTGACACAAAGTTGCTACAAGGTTTCCAGCACGGAGGATTTTCAAAGCTTCGCCATCATCGGGAAAGCACACCTGGCCCGTGATGCAGCAGCCGCCAGAGCTGCCTCCCAGGGCGGTGCAGAATTCCTGGGACTCACGGCAGGCAGGCCGCACAGGCTGGGGCGACCCAGAAACTTGAGAGGATTATGTACGGAGCAGGAGGAAATGAGAATGCACTCTGCCCCCCACTCTCTCCCATGGGTCATTTAGACACCCCCTTCATCTCCTCTTCGGAAAAACAGTTGATGACATGCAAACTTTCACAGTGCAACAAGGCAGAGTATTTTAATGATGATTCAAACACACGAGGAAAACCGGGGAGGTGTTCTCTGTGAGAGGGAAGGGAAGTGGGAAAGGCAGGGAACCCAAGAACACCCCCCTCACCAGGCCTCTCCCCTCCATCATGCCTCGCACAGAGAGCACATCCGGACGCCACAGCCCTACCTGGTCGGGGAGATTTCACAGAGACCTTTCTTCCCTGTGACTGGCGCCTGCCGGGAGGGTCTGCGACCCGTGCAGCAGAAATGCCAGGAACCTCTGGGCAGGAACGCTCTCCATTTGTATTCTGCCCAGAACGTGTCGTCCCCAGATCTGTTTACCTTGACTGTGGACCATGATTCAGCCGTGACAACTGTCTTGCATACTGATCAACGTATTTGCAGCAAAATTTCTAACGTTAACTGCTTAGGCTCTGAAAAATCGGTGGCAGATTTCTGGTGCAAAGCACAAGACACGTTTAAAACACCTAGATTGTCAAAACCCCTCCGGGAGATCAGAGAGGGGCGGAATCCCTTCTGGCAGGCACGGGAGGTGGGGCACGTCCCCAAGGCCCCCTGTGGGGGTGGGGTTTTCGTAGCACTGTGAGCAGAAACATTAGTTGACAGAGAGCCAGGGACTGTGACTCCAGGTCCTCACTGGGCTTTAACCAGCTGTGTGCATCCTCTGTAAGGCTGCCTTAAAGTCAGAGTCGGGGGGAGAGGAGGGGTGGAGGGTCTCCGCAGGGCAGGAGGTCACAGACATGGGGAAAGGTGGCCAACAGACCCAGGAGAGGAGGAAGGAGCCAAGTTCTGCCTCTACCAGCC